GCATTCGCCAAGGTATGGGATAGTTCTAGAAACAATATGTATGTATATCACACTTCCATAACTATTTTAAAATTAGTCTTTAGCCAAATAAGTTATTGTAAATCTTTTAAATTTTCCATGCAGATGTTTTACATGTGGCATGACGTTCTTTTTAACTGAAAATTGAAAGATGTTAAATGTGTAAAGTCCTTTGACTTGGGTAAAGCTTGCATAAGCTACTGGTTAGAAACTTGTGTCATTTTGGCTCTATGCCTTACACACCTGGGAAGTAATTAGCCCACCTCAAGGGATGGCAAAGATTTGACTACTCTGAACTTTTCCCTGAACATGACATGAAATATTTATAGATATTCTGATAATGCATCCTAGACTCCATAAAATTCTTGTTAACCCATCAATTTAATGGCTTCATGCTGGTAAAATGAATTGCTAGTTATTTCTCTTTTTTCATCTAATGGTACAGGGTTGGAATGTATTTCCAATTAAGAATGTGTCCTGTTGCTCTGTGTTTCTTCACAGCCTAATTCAGCAACCCAATTCACTTACTGATATCAGCATCCAAACAATTTTCATTACTTTGTTTGGTTAACTATTATGTACTGTAGTTTTCTATGGCATTCCATTCTCTTTGACAGCAATGAAAAGAAATAAACAAAAGTGAACAGATCTGCAGAATCTTTATTCCAAATAGTTGTATATCTATTATCCTAATGACTAACTATCAACATTTTTATCTGGGGTGAAAAGTTTTCCACACAGGCTTAAGACAAGAGAAATTTTGATATATTCACTCAAAACATTTGTTATACCAGAATCCAATGCTGTTAAACAATTTTTTATTAGCAAATGTTTAGTATAAAACTTGGTTGGTAATAATTAGAGTTTGGAATTAATGTCTGCAGGACATTTCCTATATCTGTGTTTTGTGAATACTTTTGAACTTATCTGTCAGTTGTCAGTGGACTTGAATATCACAGATATTTAAGCTAAAGGAAAAACCCTAGAGTCTACAAGCTAGTTAGTTATAGAAGAGCCATCTATTATATATTTTTTGCTAATTTTGCTGAAGTGAACAAACTCTTTTTATCAAGATGTGAACCTACATGACCAAAATATGATGTATTGTGCTGTCTTTAACAAGTATGGTGTCCCAGTTGATTATGCACTAGCAAGGGGTTAGGAATGTATGGTCTTTCCCTAATCCATAGTTTACAGTCTTAGGTAGGTTGTAGAATGTCCAGTTTTGTGGTAATGTGCATTATTATGGATGAATCTAACATATCCTGTTAGTACATAGCATCAAATTCACATCAGTTCTATGTAATATGGTTGACAGGAAGACATTTGAATGGAATAATATCTGCTAACTGATTCAGTGATCCTGTAGAAGGTGACCGTCCAGTGCTGCTCAAGTATTTATACTGTGTTTTCTGCTTTATCTATATAATAAATATTATGTTTCACTTTACATCAGTCTGTCTTCTTAGCTTAAACTCAGACATGCAGTTAAACTTAGGTTTATTTTGCAATTTTCTTGACCAAAGTGTTATAAAGTGGAGCTATCTAATACTTGTGCAGAAAACAGTTTCACTTGAGAATATCACAAAATTATATCATGATGTAATTGGTACTAGACAGAGACTAGATTACAAAGATACTTATTGAGACTAAAGAAAGATAATATTTTAAATAAGTTTTTATTTATTTGTTATTAAGTACAAAGCTACACAATGGGCTATCTGTACAATACTCAATTTTTAACATTATAGGCCTTCAGACTTATTGATGAGCCATATGGGGGGCTTTTTTTAACGAGGAGTAATATTTAAAAATTAGAACATCAGTTAGCCATCCAGAATATTTTTTATGGTCTTCCTAAAATTAATAATGAAGGATGTCCCTTAGGACCTTCATATAATCATGCTTTGGCTATTTTCTTAGCAGATTTTGATGTTTTCTTACTACTAATGAATATGAAAGACAGTTTCAAGTTTTCTGATACAGTAAAACAATTGAAGTTTGGTAGCAATGTTTATTATGCTAGTTTTGATATTGAGTCTTTGTGTGCGAATCTACCTTTAGAAGAATCTATACAGGTAAGCGTTGTTTTGATTTTTAATAACAACTGATAATCTGAGCATTTCTAAATGTGTATTTTTGAAATTGATGAATTTTTGCAACTAAGGAGTCATATTTCCTGTTTGATGGCATTCTTTATGATCAGATTGATAGAGTAGCGATGGGCTTTAAATTGGCTTCTTATTTGTACAATCTTTTTCTTTGTTATCATGAAATGCAATGGTTTGAAGAGAAGACTATCTGCAGTCATTTAAATTGCTATACCACCATAGGTATGTAGATGATACTTTCACCATTTTTATAAACTGTTGACTTGCAATCTGTAGGTCATGGATTCAAATCCATGTCACCTAACATATTCACTCTTTCAGCCATGAGGGTATTATAATGTCATAGTGAATCCCACTTTTCATTGGTATAAGTGTAGCCCAATAGTTGACAGTGGGTTTTGTTGACTAGCTGCCTTCCCTCTGGTATATCACTGCTAAATTAGGGATGGCTAGCTCAGATAGCTCTTGAGTAGCTCTGTGCAAACTTCGAAACAAACCAAACCTTTATAAACGATCATGTTTCTGAATTTCTGGAGTGCTTGTACAGCAAACCTAACAGCATAATGTTCAGTGTTGAACATTAGTAACATTAAACTCATTGTTGGATAAGCTGGTTCCTAGCAGGATTGTAATGTTGCAAGCTATATTTTTAGTGTTTTGATTTAGCTGTTTCCTAGAGGGTGTTCATCATTTTTGTCATGAAAGTTGAGAACTGAAAAGTTTTGCCTAATACTTAGAAACAGCGGTACAATTGAAAATATGAGTAGTCAGTGATAATTGAGTTCAGTTCTAGTTAGTAAGCTAAGCAGTGAGTTAGTGAGCACTGATTGATTGATTGAATCAGTTCTGTGTCAGAAAAGTTATTCAGTGTTATTAGTGAAAGTTCGAGTATCTATTCTACTATTCATTTACTCATGAAGATGCAAATTTATTTATTGATCAAAGCTAAGTAAATTAGACATGGATACCATTTGTCTTAGAATCTCTATTAAAATGTTGTATTTGAAGTCAGGCCTATAAGTGAAAGTGGCTACATCAATTGTTAAAGAAGAAATAAGCTAGTTCATTATTGTTATGTTGACTTGATATTATTTTTACCAAGTAGTTCAAAAACACTTGCCCAGAATAGAATGCATTAAAACTCTGGTGACAGAATTGAGATTATTTTGGTGATGATAAAATGAAACTGTGGGTAAACTTTAAGATGACAACCAGTGCAAAATGTGAAATGATGAAAGTATTAAAAGAAAGGGAAGAAGAAAGAAACCAAAAATTAAAACAATAACAAGAAGAAATAGACAGAAAATTTAAAGATGTCCAAGAAAAAAATGATAGAAAATTGGAAGAATGTTACAGGAATTTAACTATAGAGTTAAAAGAGAGAGATGTAATATTTAAAGAAGAATTAAAAACAAAAATAAATATGACTGAAGGCAAAATCAATGAAGATATTGGAAATGTATAGAGGGATTACAACAAAAGTGATATTAAAGAAGTACAAAAAAGAGATTATTAGGTAGAAAAGAACATTGATGACAAAATAAAACATTTGGCAAATTAATTGTTAAATGCAAAGAGTAAACTAGTCAAACCTCTTTCTGCATCCACCAAAGAATTCCAGCCTAAAACACCATATACTACAAAATATGAAATAGGAGAACCTTTTTGGTGTACATATTTACCACTACTGGTGGACCATCTGTTTAATTACAATAAGACTTTCCTGGACTAATCCAGCCATGTCACTACCAAATCCAATTCTAGACTTTACCTTGCCAATTCACAACATCACCTAATAGAAAAAAACCAACAGACTATGATGGAAAGGTACCAAGGGAGGCATATTAGGCTTGGTTTAAAAATAACTTCCGGAGTGAAGATGTGGAATAGTGAACAAGAAATTATTAATCTTGATGCTAATTTTTAAAAGGACCAACCTTAAGACATTAAGTAACCTTCCAGTTGAGAGCCCATAACAATTGCAAAGAATTAGTTGCTGTTATATCCAACAGTATGAGGTATCCAGAGTAAAGTTCTGGAACAGAATATAGAGGAAAGAAGAGACCTTAGCTGAACTTGCAGAAGAGTTGGAAAGGCTTGCTCAATTATTGTAATTGGATGCTCCACATGAAATGGATTTGTTGGCACATGAGCAATTTATAGATGCCATAATAGATGAGGATATGAAAACTAAGCTGGAACAAAATATATGTACATCTTTAAAGGAAACTCTGCAGTTGGTGATGAAACTTGAAACCATTAAAGCCACAGATAAACAATTAAAGGCAGTATATAGAAGTTATGGTATCATCAAGTCAAGTAGTATTGAAACATCAGCTCTCTCTAATGAGTCTATAAGAACTGAAAGGATTAGTTAGACAACTAGTTACATAGAATGAAGGAAAAACCATAAGGCAGTAGATGTTGGAAGTGTGATTTGAAATGACATATTGCCTGGAACTGCAGACAAAAGCCTATATAAAATAAGAACTCCTCCCAAAAAGATACCAGAGAAAATAGAACTGTTATAGATGTGGGAATAGCCATTAAAGCAGAGACTGTAAGTAATTGGCAGCTGTTATTAAGCTAAAGAGTCCAACCAGACCCAAGGAACAACCAAAATTCTCAAAATGTTTAAGAGTGCTTTCTCTGTGGTATGCAGGCATATCATGCATTTTCTACCTTTTTATTTTAATGTAGAAATTTTCAGAATTTATTATTTATTTTCAGTGTATACAGTTTTCAAAGAAACATGGATTAGAAAACATTAAGTTGGTTTTGTTCTAACTATCTCTGTTCCTTTGTTATTCTTTGGTAATAATACTTGCTTTGCCCACGGAGGTATTGCTGCAAAAATGTTATGCAAGAAAGTCAGTGACAACATTGTCCTTCACTGGCTGAATAGGTGATATCTAGGCATTACAGCCTTCCCTATGTTGAATGAGAGTGAACGATCAATTGGGTAGTGCTAGTTGTGGTGGGTAAATCCAATATTTCCTTTTAACTAAGAAGCATTGGATTGATAATTCTACAATAATTCTAAAGTGAGTCAGTTGACAGGAAGACAACTTGAGGGGGAAGAACATCAGTTAATTGATTTTATGATCCTGTAGAAGATAATCATCCTATGTTCTACACAAGTATTCACACTTTTTTTTCTATTCACTGATTGATATAAATTATTCATTGGTTTACAGAACAAGTCTTTCCTCATTATTTTTCTTAGCTTAAAACTCAGTCAGTTTAGTCAAACTCATACTTGCTCCATATTTATCCTACTTGATCATCCCATTGTCAAGCTGACTTACAAAGACAGTTGGATGTTTCACAAAAACTTCATATATTAACGACCATGATTTCACCAGTAAAGGCATCATCAGGTATCTGTTTATTCTTTTATTGCATTAGTTCACAGGCAGTAAAATAGATTTCACAATGATTGTTTAATGAATTTTGATCCTGCCCATTGAGTTGTACTATCAAGGTTCCCAGTTACTCCTTTACATGTATTCCTTAATCTTTTTGTTTAGTTTACTGCTGGTTAATGAAATCCATGTTCAGATGTCAGATTCAGACTTCTTGTTCTTTTGAAAGCTCAAGCTCACATTTAGGTATATTTGGGGCTTGTGTGTTGCATTAGGGAAAGGGGTATCTTGACTAGGATATTGTTGATTAAGATAGTTTTTGAAGTCCTATTTCAAAATATTTAAAGAAGTGGGAGAGGCTTAGCTCAATAGTTAGTTAATCATTTCATTCCTATCTAAAGACAGGTACATATATATTTATTTGAAGATATTTGCACCCAACATCAACTTTTTGTATGTAAACTACACTTATTTCTTCTTTGCAGGGAGCTCAGTGGATGGCATAGAAGAAGAACTTATTATTGTAAACAGTTTGTCTTGGAAAAGAACAGAGCTACTTGAAATAAATTGGTCACTAGAGGAAGTTTCTCGCAGGGTGTGGATTGAAGGAGTTGGAAAGGCTATGCAAGATGCAGGAGATGAAAAAACAACACTTGTCCCTGTGGTGGTTAATCCCTTTGGATACCAAGTTCTCCGTGGAATATCAGCAGTTAAAGTACCTGTAACAGCAGGTAGTGTAAACTTAATATGTAAATTTTGTTTTATTTTATCTGGTATAATCACATAAAATACTAAACTTTCATTTGACCAGTATATTAAATAAAGTATTCCTGCACTGAAGATGCAAGAGTTCATTTTGTTTTCTTCTTAATTTGATAGATATCCCTATGATAAGGTGAAGAACAGTGTTTTATCTGTATTAATTGTAATGACTGTTTTTGTATACTATAGAAAATGTATAAATAGAATATTTTGACTGAAAGTTAAAAATCAGAAGTTTTTCATTTAACAAGTAAAATAAAAGCTCCCCAGTGGCATAGCGGTATGTCTGCAGACTTATACCACTAGAAACTGGGTTTCAAAACCCGTGGTGGGCAGAGCACAGATAGCCCTTTGTGTAATTTTGTGCTTAATAACAAATAACAATAGTACAATAAGAAGAGAATGAAACTGTTGAATTTTACCAATGTTTTATCAGTAATCTTAAAAAATTAATAGTTACAAGGTTACATAATACAATAAATGGGTACATAAGAAATCAGTTTGCATGTTGAGTTAAGATTACCAAAACATTATTAAAGAAAGAAACAAAAAATAAATATTCAATAAAAAGCATATCTTATTGCTTGTGTAATGAATTTGTTTAGATTAAGTTTATATTTTAAAACATGCATAGCTTATAGTGTTAAATATGTATTGCAAAACTCCTGCCTATTCTCCAAAGTTCTAGAAGATTCTCGAGAGTAAGAATTAACAATTTTTGTATATATGTAAATGCTTAAATGTAGCTCAGTATTATTACGTAAAACTAAAATTTCTAGAATGCCTCCACATGCCTATAAATATGTGACGTGTCGAAAGGAGAAAATATCTGTTATTAGTTTGCTATAGTCAGTGAGCTATAAACTTCGGAAGCTATAAATGTGATTACTATAACACTTACCAATAAGGAAAACTTCAAATATTTGAACATGAACCTTCACAGAGTTCAAACATTACAAATTGTTTAACTTCAGTGGATTCTCATTGGAAATTAGTATTTTTATGAAAACATTACATAACGAAGGACAAAACTAGCTAGCTTCGCGTTAAGTGAAATATACCTACGTCAACTCGTAATCAGCTCACTCATTGTGAACCCTCATTAAGATATCGAAGAAATTCCAGATTAAAAGGAAGACTTTATATTGCTTGTAAGTTTGTGAAATTTTTGTTTATAAATCATTGTTTGTAATAACTGTTATTGTAAATTGTATTGTTGTGTGTATATTAGAATGTATTTGTGTTAAAAAAGAAAACTGTGTGTATCAATCTTGTTGGCAAATGTCATAAACTGACTATATATCAGCTTTAATTTAACTACTAAATCCAAATACGATTTAACTACTAAATTTGGATTTATCAGTTAACTCAATTTCAGGCTATTTAAAATTCTAATACGTAACACTTGGCAAATTCAATATGTTCATCCTTTATTACACGTATGGATCCATAAGCTTATTTTCGTCATAACCATTCATGGGTGGTATTTGAATGTAGTATAGGTTTCTATCTTCTTGTAGTATTATAATATTTATTCTGAATTAATTCTTTGTTCTGAATATGTGGCCAAGAAAACTGTTAAATTGGTCTTGTATGAAGTTACTTCTATTCATCTCAAAGTAGGTAATACCAGGGACAACATTGCTTAATATGATATTGTATAAGAATGTCAACAGCAGTCTCCTTCAACAGTTCAGGTAATATCTAGCAGTTGTAGTTAGAATGAACAATCATGTGGGTAGTGCGTGTTATGTTGGAAACTAAGGAGTCTGGCATTTAAAGTGTCTGGTATATAATTTCATCATGAATGGTTGAATATTGCAGAACCTGTAGAAGCAATCATGTGATATAAATAAGAACTACAAGTACACACACTATGTTTGTTTTGCATCATATAATAAAGATTGTACATTGTGTTGTATTTTTGTGTCCAGCCTTATTGTTCTGTTTAACATTGATTTGGTTAACTAAGAGTTTTAGTAACAATCCATAATTGATATCTTGAATGAATTTTCAATTATTTAGTGGACCTATCTGATAGCTCTAACAATAATTCAGTTCACTTATATATAACACAGACTGGATAGATAGTAGAATATTTTGGTTCCTTAGCCACAGAATATTGTTATTGTGGAGTTTGCTATTAGCTGCAGAAGTGTATACTGTTCTTTACTTGAACTCTTGCATTATTAAGTTTAAGAAGGCTTCTGTTTCAGCAAATGACATTCTAAACAACTGGAAAAAAGACTTATAACTTAGAGGGAGAGTCTGTCATTAAGGGGAGATAGTTGTCTGAGAGAGTAATTAGGGTGCTAGACTCGCAATCTGAAAGTTGCAAGTTTGAATCCCATCATTGGACATGCTTGCTCTTTCAGCAGTGGGGGCATTATAATGTGTTGGTTAAAGTATAGCCCAAGAGTTAGCAGTGGGTGCTGTTGACTAGTTGCTTTCCCACTAGTCTATCATTTCAAAATTAGGGATAGCTAGTGCAGATAGTCCTTGAATAGCTTTGTACAAAATTCAAAAACAAATCCTGTCCTGGATGTTGGACTCTTACCAGTGCTCTAAAGATCATTGATTTTGATCTTATTGCAAAGTATGACCAAGGAACACCAAAATCAGTTGATTCTGTTACTTTCCTAAGGATTGACTTTGGTTTGAGGGAAGCATGAATTTAGAATTTTGGTGAGTCCCAGACTAGTAGGGGGTGGTTTAAAGAAGACTCCTAGACTTATGGCTGCCAGAGTGATTCATCTCCAGCTTTGCTTGAAGCTATCTGAGAGTGATGGAGTGAAACTAGAGGGGTCATTGGTGGACAATTTGCCAAATGAAGCCATTTCACCAGCAGGTGAGACATTGGAAGTTGAACCACAAAGAGATTTGGATCATGGGGCAATGGTATGCCTCCCTAGCCAGGAGTTACACTATTGACATGAACATGATTTACAAAGGAGTATGTAGTTGAGCAGAGCTGCCCAGAGCACTTCATTGCTCTGCTACCCTGGATCATGAATCTACCAGTTGTCAGATCATTAGAGCCCCTGAAAGCCTTTACCATTCTGTGCCAACAATGCCAAAGATATTTCAGTCAGGAGATGACTGGATGCTGGAAAGCAAAATTTCTGGCCAATTTATGGATCACTGTAAGTGAGGCAAAGCAGATCAGTATGCTAACATTAAAAAGAACTGTAAAAGAAGCATTTTGAATAGGTGAGTGCCTGAAATGGTTACTGAGTCTAGCCCTAGACTTCATTGAGCATTTACATGAGAAGCAACTCTAGAACTGCAAGACAATCATTATTGAGCTGTGCTGAAGGTTTAACCTTGAGGAAATAAAAAGTAATCCATTGAGTTGAATTCAAGACTTGGAAGGGGGTGTCACTGAAAGCTTAACTGCTGATTCAGATGATTTGTAATTGCTGTGATTACTAACCTGCAAGATAATATCTGGTAATACCGTGTGCTTGTTATGTTTTTTAATAATCAACAATATTTGAATTTTAATTCTGAAATATTTGGCAGGTAATGAATTTTCATGGAATAATAAGAGTAACAGTGAAACTCGCACTGTATCTGAATGAAAACACAGTTTTACTAATAGTAGAAATGGAAAAATTTATTTAAAAACAAAATACAAGTAACAACATTTCAAACTCCTTAGGTATAAGATTGTAGGGGGTGTTGTATATATTTAGTTGCATTATTATATTGGTAGTCAACAGTGCAATATCATATATGAACACATTTAAAGAAATACTTAATATAGGCATAAAAGTATTCCTTTGTGTTGGTTTACTGTGGGTTTAAGTTGTTGTATTACAAGTGTTTCTTTGATTTTTCCTTTATTTACATTTATTTTTCTGTTTAATATGTTTGTGTCTTCTCTGCTTATATTGTGTTTCAAACATGGTGAAAGAACATACATTCAAATGTGGCAACTATGTATGATTGTGATATGCCAGCTGCATAAAGGTAGGTTGGATCCAGCTGGATTAGACTGTACCTTATACTCTGACCAATTTGTTCTTTAATGTAGTAGTTGGAACAGGCACATTACATGCAAAAGCATGTAGAACATATTGATAAGCTGCATCCATATGTCACAGATGAGCCCCTGATGCACTGGATTGACCAGGAGTCTGGTGAGTCAGAGGAGGTTAAGGACATTGTCTTGCATCATCTGGATCTGCTTGATGAAGGAAAGAAATTGCACATTCTTATCTAGCAGTTTTTGATCAACCAGATAAAGAGCCACTGGAGTTTGAAGCAACTACCATTTCTGACTGGTGGACAAAACACAATATTGACCTCCAGGACAATATGGGTGGGATTTATTGCCAAAACTAAGACAGTAATTTGTCAGGTAACTTATGATTGAAAGGAAGTAGCATTCCTTGTTTTCTGAACCCTCAGGTAGGAAGACATAGCAGAATGTATGAATTACATGTTGTGACTACTACTTGATCTTTGAAGGTAGAACAACTAGGTAGCTGGAAGGCTACTGAAGGTGTAGTTTTGGAGCATGAAAATGCTAGCTGTAACTGTAATAGGGGAAGGTGGAAGGTAGCACTTGTGCAGTGAAACCCTATAATTTGTGCCATAACTGTTATTTGTAAATGGAAGTCTCTAAGAGAGGACAATAAAAGTGTTAACAAGGACTAATGGTCAAACCTATGTTTTAACCCCCATTCTTTTCTACTGGAACCAAGAGTTGTTTAATTAACATCCAGATGACAGGCTGATTTTAGAGTCTGGTATGCAGGTTCCTGTTGTCTAGCAAAGACAGAAGTGGTCAGCATGACCATAGGTAGCTGTTTGAATGGAAACCTGGGGAAGCTAGGGGATCAGGAAGTCCTTGACTTCCTTTGGCACATGTCCTATGGGTGGGGATGGGCATGGGTGCAAGTTAAGCTTATAGATGTGTGATTTGACCAGTACCTAAGTTATGGTTATGACTGGGCTTTATGACCCCCTTTTCCTTAACCTCCACACACAGTAGGACTGACCAATTAAAACTCATATTTGAATAATGCATATATGAAAATTTGATTTTTCCTTGGACAATAAACTAGAAAAAAAATAAGCCTATTTAGTTCTGCAACCAAGTGCACAGATTCATGGCACTCAGTATGTTGGTGTATGTGAATATGCTAATGTGTTCTTGCTGTGACATGTTGCCTTTCACAGATGAATAAACTGATTAGATGGTACAAGAAAGGCACGAAAACCATAAAATTAAAGGAAAATAAATGTGAAAAGGTTCAAAATTGAAACTGTAAGTATCTTTAATTTAAAATGTGGCGACAAATGATGCATTCATAGAAAGCAAAAAAAGGTATTATTAATTTGATTTAAAATTTTTCAGATTTTAATTTTTTGTATGTTAATTATTTAGCTACTTTTAGGATAAAGAAAATAATAGACAAATTATATAGTTTTTACCTCAAAAACTTTTCATGTTTATTTACAAGGTTCTAGAAGTTATACAAATTAAATATGAAACTGTAATATGAAAAGAAGTATATTTATTGTTAGCATGAAAATCACATTGCACTTCAATTGGCTTAGTAAAAGCTTTGGAAATTAAAAGAAAAATCAAGGTTGGTAAAATTGACCAGTTTGTTGGCATAGGGTTAATTGTATATTACTTGAATAAAATTATATAATATTATGTAGTACTATGTTATCAAATAGCAAGAAAATATTCTACATTTTGAATGCACATAATATTACATTCTAGTCTATATTTTACTCTTCCTTTTAAAGTTGTGTAATACACTTTTAATGTTCATAGAGTTAAAAATATCTTGTTACATTATTAAAGAATCATTTATTAAATTTGGGTTCTATATAATATGTAACATTTTAGAACTGACATTGTCAAAGTTACATGGCACTGTTGGTTTGGCTTTCTATCAGAATTAAATAGGAAAAAAGTTGCTTTTATAGACAACTGAAGCTGGCTAAGCATTAGTTGTTGGTAGGTATCAGATATGATGTTAAATACAATAAGACTGATAATAATTCAAATTCACATTAAAATATATGTCACTTAAATTATTGGCAGTCTTTTTGTGATTTGATATCACACATTTTACTTTCTTAAGGGTATATGCTTATTTTTGTAAAGAACTGCTGTACTGATTTCAGTAATGTGTTCTGTAAACATTTATTTCAATAAACAAACACTATTTACAGTTACAAATTTTGAAAATAAAGTGGTGATTGTACTATTTTCTAGATCGACGATCAGATGGTTCTGTGTGCTTAAAAAACCAGTTCTTAGTCGCTATTGTGAACCACCAAGGAGAGGTTACGTCCTTGCAACTCCTGGAAAAACCAAGAGAACTTATATCAGTTGGTCAAGTTGGAAATAAACTTGTGATGTTTGATGATATTCCTCTCTACTGGGATGCATGGGATGTGATGGATTACCATCTAGAAACAAAACGCTCTGCCATCAACAAGGTTTTTTGTTTTTTAATTTAACTAATGCCTTTATGGAACATGTACATTTAAAGCATTTAAGTACTAATATGTTGCTATGTTTTATGAGAACAGTTTCTAGATTTGCTTTGTCAGTCTGTTTTTACTCAACCCTCTACTGGCACATTTTTATCTAAACATTTAGTTTCATCAGCCTCTATGGATAGATGAAAGAAATATCTATTAGTACAGTTAAGTCATATTTTTTCTTTTAATTTGCAATATTCAGTAATATGTGTAATTTTGAAAATATTTATGTAAAATTTTTTTTTTCATATAGAAAACCTATTCAGGGTCACAAAATATTTGAATAGAAAAAAAAAGAGGCAGTTTTTCATCAAAACTGTGCATGTACAATGAAATATTTAACTGTTACATAATTTATAGATGATTCAACAAGTACAATTATTTGTCTCAGAACTCAGTTTACAGGAACAAAGTTATGAACTGTTTCATAAAAATCAGTTAAAGTATTCACACAGTGGTATAGTTAAAGTATTCACACAGTGGTATTGTATTTATTTTCAGTTACAGTGTAGCCATGAGTTAAAAATCTTTGGAAAAAATTTTTAATTATCTCGAAACTTAAAAAGTCAAGGAAAGTTGTTCTTCCCCTTATTTCAGAGCCTTCATGCATGTACTGCTACTTAACTATGACATAACATAATCTCAATTAGTCACTATACTGTTGTATCTGGTGATAATTATCTAATTACTTGTATACTTTGTAATAGATTAAATAAAATATTCTTTTATAGATAACAATGCAACATTTTATATACTATTATGTTGCAATATCCTTTTTTTTTAGATGTTTGTTTTTGCAATGCCATAATCTTAATGTTACTAATTACATCAACAAGATGACTATTAAGCCTAATAAGCCTGTCTGTTTACATAATGAACTAAACTAGTAAAGTGGAACTCAGTTACTTAAGATGATCCCAACTGTTCTTCTATGATATAACAAGAAGCATAATAGGCTAACAAAAAGGTTTAATTATTGATCTTGTTAATCAGCTCAGCAATGGGTAATTTATGATATAAACCCACCAACAATGTACTCTGCTGAAAGTCAGTTGAAATAGACAAACTTTGCATACAAAATTACCAATAGATACTCAATATTCTCCAATACTAAAAGGTTATATTAAGAAAGCCATCTTTAAAACGAGTATGTACTTACAAAATTAAAACTATCTGTAACCTTTCTAAGAAGACTTTTCGTGAATGTATAAAAAAATTTAAATTAGAGATTAATCATCTTAATTTCTTAGCAAATTGTACAGGTGTTGGTTTAATCCCAAAGTGTATTTCTGTGAAAATCCATTTTGTTGATAAACCTTCCAAACATATCACTAACACTAAGATCCCAGCCAACACATGATGTTTCTACAATTTTGCTGAATAGTTGTGCATTATAATGCATGATGTTGTCAGTTTTACCAATGCATAACTATTCAACAACATTGAAGAAATGTTATGTGTTAGCTGGGTTGCACTTTCTCAATGAATTTTACAAATATTACAAAATGGAAGTGATTATTTGTCTTTAAGTTATAAATTGAAGTTTTTAATTTACATGTTAAAGAAGCAGGTTGATTCATATGTTATGGCCTTACCTATAAAACAAAAGTTGGGATTTTAATGGACAAGATTGTCTTGAATATGAAGAAAAACTATAGAAGAAATTTGATACCTTATCTAAGTCTCATATTACTTTGGGACTACAGATACTAATAAAAATAATGAACACATAGTTCTACCTCAAAGTTATAAATTTCTTCCTAATATTACAGAGAATTTAATCCTTGTTATTGAGTCTAACTTAATCTTTTCCTTTCATCTAAGATTAAGAATAAATTTTATCTGCATTCAAGTCTCATCATCAACACTTGTACTAAAAGCAAATGAAATTTTATAAAAGATCAAATGCTTGACTTTAAGGCTCTCATATATAATAGAGATGTTTTCATAACCAAATCTGACAAAGCAACCAAATTATTTTCATAAACAAGAGTCATTAAAATGAATGGGCCCCCCCAGTGGCATAGCAGTATGTCTGCGGACTTACAACGATAGAATCCAGGTTTCAATACCCATTGTGAGCAGAGCACAGATAGCCCATTGTGTAGCTTTGTGTTTAATTACAAACAAATAAACAAAATGAAGGGATTATAAATTTATTAACAGATGGTTCATATAATCAACCACACTAAAAACTAGGAACACTTTGAAATAGTGTTTCATCTTAAACCGTAACCAGACTTCTAAGTTATTATCATGTAATTTTATTACTCCATAGTTTTATGCACTACCTGCAATACATAAAGGAAATATCCCATATTGCCTAATTGTTAGTGGTATTAAATCTTCATCACATCTTATTGTGAAATTCATAGCAGATAAAGTTTCTTTCTTATCCTCATAAAATAAACACTACATTAAAGATTCAACTTACTGTTAATCAGATCCAGTCTCCTAAGCTATCCCATAATAATGTTATGGTTTTTTTATACATTATATCTTTATTCACTTGAAATTAGCAATATAATAAAGTTGACAAAAACTTGAATCATATATCCACTTTTTTTTCATGTAAATAAATTCTATTATCAAATTGAAGAAATACCTAATGGATTGCCTTTCTCCCCAATACTTTGGATATTTTCATGGATTATTTTGAAATCACTGTTTTTCTAACTGTCACGTAAACCAAATATTTGGTTGAGATATATAGATGATACCTTTGTAGTGTGGAGTCTCGGTGACATTAATTTGCAATATAAACAATTCACAGAGTATCATTAAGTTTACAATTTAAAATAAACAAAATAACCAGATACCATTTTTTTGGTAATTAGAAACTGATTTTTTTATTCAAAACATCAGTTTTTTAAACATTTTGCAATCACTGTACTGCAGCATATGGATTTGTGTCACTTTTTTTTTCAAAAGTTGGCATATTTCTTACTCTAAACTTACAGAATATTTTGTATTTCGTTCAACAATGTTTGACCTTTTCAATGACATGAACTATCTTGAACATGTGGCCATAGATAGAGGATATGACCTGACAGTCATTTATGAGATTATTATCAAAATATCTTGTAAAATGAATTTGTCTGAACTCATGACACTTTCACCTGTATACAAAATGAAGGTAAATTTATTTGCATACCTTATTTCCTTAAGATCTCAAACCATGCAGAAAAACGTTTTATTCTAGACATATGGACTGCCAGTTTGCTTATAGACCTATTAACAAAATTTGTAATTTTCTTATTTCTTTCACTGAAAGATAACAACTTTGGGCTAGGACAGATTTTATTAAATAAAGTGTGAATGCCAGTGTCTATATCAGTCAGACAACTTGAAGTAAAAAACACATGTTGCACTTTATTATGAGTAGCTTAACATGCTATTAACTATAATCACCATATCCTGTGGCAGGGGTCAGCAACCTGTGGCTCTTTAAGGAGATTTGTGCAGCTCGGGCTATCTGCTGTGTCCACTGAAGGAAATCGAACACCTGATTTGTAAATCTGAAGACTTACTGCTGACCTGCTGGGGGACATTTTTTTAGGGTAGACTGTTAAACAGTTAGAGCATATTGCAGCTCTTAGACAAAAACAAAAAATGGCTCTTCTTCTTTGAAGGGTTTATTTCCTATGGGATAAGACCAAATTAATTTTTTTCCTAGGGTAACTACACTGAACTGAATGTGAGAGAGTTGATGGAAATAATTGAACAGAAAGATTTTTTCTTCAAATAAGGATGAAGGTCCAGGAATTTAAGTCCTCTAGTTGTACTTTGCATTAATATTGTATAAATATATATACATATTTTGTATCTCTGCTTTAACTTTGTCTTGAATATTTTGCCTGACATAATTGCTATTGTGTTATTTAAATAAAACATTAATTCAAAATGGACATTTAACATGTTATTGGAACAAATTTTTTAAATATAGTAATATGTATATTATTGCATTGTTTATTTTCATTCTGCCTGATGAGGGCTCAAACAGATGTGCCCAAAACATGCAGAAAAATATCTTTGTTTTACTATAATGAAGTAAATATGTTCTGAAGTTTTTTATTACCTTTTACAGATTACAAGCTAAACAGTTGTTAGTTAGGCAGTATTATGAGGGAAAGTTAAAATAGAATTGTGCTGTGCATCTGTTTTATCTGGAAAGTAAGGGAAAAGAAAAAAATGTGACCATCTAGAATAGCATTCAGACTAATCTTTTTCTATATTTTTTAATTTTTAATAACTAAATTCAACTGAGTTGATGCTATATATCTTTTAAGGTCACTTTCTTTTCATACAGAATTAAACACTGCAGTAAAAACACACAGTGATTTTGTTTATTAATATTTTTTTTTATGAATATGTTAATGCATTAATATTCTGACTGGCCACTTTCTTAGTATTCCCTTCACACACACACATGAGTATAATGCTTCATTTATTTGATATTCAAAATAAGCTGACAGAGTGATGTGCCAGGTAAATGCTTTGGCTCTATAAATATAAAGATGTAATCACATTATTGTTAATCTACAAGACACAGGGAAAGAATGTTTCTTTCATTGTATAACACTCCATTTATCTCATGTACAAAGTAAACTAACAGTATGATGTGTCAGGTGATTGCAGTGTATCAGTGTGTGTCTATCTAGCAAGATAACTACTATCAAAGACAGTTTCTCTCACTGGTCTTTCAAAGACATCTGTCACCAGAGTTTGTCAATAAGAATAAACTATGGTCACTAATCTCTGGTGACAGACTGAAGGAAATGTGTGAGAGGCAGGTTTGTAGAGTGTATCAGACTATATTTCTTTGAAGGACAATTTCATGAGTAGTGTTAAGAAATTGGCTATTTCCTGGCAATGTACCATTCAAGGCATGTCTTATGAAAACCAAAGAACAGTTCTGAAATCACCTTTGAGATGCAAACAGTAAAGCATAGCTTCAGTAGTATTTAGGCTCCTTACTGTGGATGGAGAGCAGTTGGAAGCATGTGTAGTCGGATGAATCATGTTTCACCCACATCAGGTACTCTATCCTGCTTCTGTTATTCCACCAAAGTAAGCTTGCTAGAAGAGATAGTGTAATGGTGTGTAGAGTATTTCTGTTGACAGGGGAATTCATAAGTTGGTGTTGTGCCAGACAACTAGATGTACTTATGATGATACAAAAATAGGCAGGATTTTCAGGAACAGCTAAAAACAAATTCACACTCATTTCAGTTCAACATCTCATAAATAGATATTACTGATTAATGCTGGTAAATAAAGTGTCACAAAATTCAAATGTATTTTCATGAGTGTAGGATTTTAAAAGTTGCCCATGATAACACTTATTGAAAACTGATTAAATGAATTATAAAAATTATGCTTCTCTCCATCATGCAGTGTACACAAATTGCTTACAGAGTTACTGCCTTAGGAAGAAAATGTTTAGAAGTGATAGAAAGCATCCCTATTGGCCAAAATTGTAGATGGACTACTACCTCAGCCAAGTGCATGTACCGTGGAATACACACACATGACTAGTAGTAACATAAAAAAAACTTTCATAACTGCAGTCAGTTGGCTGGAGAAGTGGAAGAATGCTAACACAGCATTCAACCGATGGAACAGTTTTGCAAACAGGCACAGAAAATATTGGTAGTGTACAACATGCAATCTTCTAAGGTTGATGATTTGCTTTTACTACCATGTAGCACTGATGCCACCTCTTAATTTGGATATTGTCCTTTTTTGTCTTTTAGAAGGACAAATAAACTCCAAAGTGTACCTCATGAACATAATTATCAACATTTATATGTTTTTAAAATCTTTTTTAACTATGTGAGATATACATGACTGTTTCATTTATATTTAATACAATAGTTATGATTTAGATAGTTATAAAGCATGAGTGTTAAATTTAATATACATAGAAATGATAATTTATCACAGGTTTTCTTACATTACTGTTTACAAATCATTTGTTGTGTAGTTCAATTATTGTGAATTGACATCATGTTACTCGAACCCTCTGAATTTTTTCCCATTGCTTTTAGTGTATTGTTACATAATAACATCTTATAGTTTGTAGAACTATTATATATATATATAGGTGACCAAGTTAGTGTAAAGTAAGTAAATTAGTGATAGTGAAAGTAAGACAAAGTTAGTGAGAGATATAGTCAAATAGTTCTAGACTGTGTTTTTGAATTTAGCCATAAAGAATGTATAGTGGTGATTGCTCAGTTTTCACTATATATGCAGTTTGACAGTGAGGTGATCAATGTGTGAAGTATTATGTTATTGTTAAATGTGCTTTCAGTGGTGAAAAACGTAAACAGTTATTACATTTGCAAGAATGATAATAAAGGTTTTTCATTTATATTTCAGGTTATTCATCCATTGACAATTATTAGGAAAGGACCTCTTGAAGTAAAACTGGAGATGTCAGCTAAAGTAGGAGATCACAGTGAATTGAAGCAAACATTAACTCTGGATGCAGTTCATCCTTACTTGAAGTTTGACATTGACATTTCATGGTTTGAATCTCACAAGTTTCTAAAGGTACAAAATGCAAATTACATTAGTGTGTACTGTGAACATTCTTTATTTGAAATGCTTGAATGCGTAATCTTATACAAAGTTCAAGGTATTTAGTAATAACTATGTGATGTAATAGAATAATTAGAAAATTATCCTTAATAACTTTTCAGTGTTACATTTGCATTACTTTATAATTAACATCTTATCATGTTGGTAAAATGACATTTATGAATAGCAGTACACTAGAATAACTTAATGTTGTTCTCAGCAATGCAGTTCTGAACAGAGTAATGTGTGTGACTTGAGTCTGTAGATATGTGCATAAATTATTCATAAATTTTGGGTTGTTTTAAGTTGCTGAGTTTACTTTTACATTTTAATTTTTCATAGCTAAGTAAATAGATAAATAAATAAATATATATATATATGTGTTTTTAAAAAAAATTAGAACTATACGTTAGGTCTATAAAACATTGAACATGCTGGCTACAACAGTTTGGTACTAGCTTACTGTTATAGGTAGGTGTATCCTATAACTCACAGTCTGTAAAATATAATCTCTGTATATATTTATGTGTGTAAATATATACATATTTAACTCCATTTAATCAAATAAATTACAAATGATATCACAAAAGTCTACTAAAAGCAGGGGCATGCACAATGGGGCAAACAAAAACATAGACCCCCAATAATTTATGCATATGGATTTCATCACTTTGGTGAGTGTAATATGATTATTCTTATGCCTATGATGTATCTGCATTGTTGGTATGGTTTATTTATTTATATATAGAAATCAAAATTCAACATATATTGTGGGAAGCACAATCAGCCTGCTAATGCTACAGGGGTCTATTTCAAGACAAAAAGGCTGATGCTTCATCAGAAGAATGAGACTATGTGGAAAACGTTAAATACCATAAGCAGCTGTGCTGTAACTGTACAATCAAGATTTTTTTTACATCACAAAAATAGAGGTGCCCAAACCCTCTCAAATCGACTCTGCATATGTGAGTGTAGAGTTATATAAAAATAACCTAAATGAAATGAAAAGAATTTGCTATTTTAGATGTTGTATAACAGGTCAATATTACATCACATTTATATCTGTGAGTAATACCAAAAGATGAAGCTCCAAAACATACTTACCTCCTCTCACACTACAGCTATTACTCGATTGCCAGGGTTTCTACTTTTGCCCATCTAAGCATTGGTCTGATTTTTCTCGCATGCTCCAGTCTTTTATAACCCATTTAATTGCCCTTAGCAATATTCGTTTCATGACACTCTCCACCTATATCAGTGCACCCTCTATCCTGGTACTGTATATAAGCACCTCATTCAAATAATATTATCACTTTTTCTTAACAAAGCATTCACTAATGGGTTTGTCTGTACTACGATCATTGGAGATACTTTGAGCATTCTTCATGTTATCTAGTTGATTTTTCTAAAAAAAAAAGAAAATATATGGCATGAATTCCTGGATTATTATTTCCGGCATGGAGGTCAATTAGGTCTCTCCCATCCCACCTCTGATACCTAGTGCTGCTCAACAATTGGGGAGGGGCAGTCACTCTCAGTTGAGACTGTCAGTGACCTTATTCATAGTGAGATGGAGGTATATACTTGGATCAGTGGTGTTCCTCCAGGGGGCTCTGAGGCTGCAATTGAGGGCAATCCTGGACATTCTGGAGAGAGAGAGAATTTTGATTTGCTTTTTCCTGCACCTTTCTTTATTCTGTTGGCTTCTCAGGAGTCCACTTTGTGAGATAAGCTGCCTCAGGCTTCTTTTCTTCAGTTGGTATACCAAGTGTTTGATGTTTTTGAGTCTTTTGGCAGTTGCTTTTGATCCTGCACCTTCCTTAATGGTTGAAAGGTCTGGAAGTGAATACTTACTTCTCCCTCCAACCACTGATATTGTGGTTTATGCAGGGAGGTTTACTGCTCAATTACATGAAGGGATAGCTATGCCTTGCCTGCCATGTTTCTCATAACTATGTAATTTAGCCTATCACTGTCAGGTGAAACTGTGGGAGCATATTCCAACTCTCAAAGAATACATCTGCTCCTAGAAATTTGGGTTTCTAGAGTAGAGTTTGTAGTTAACCCGATTAGATTGCAACTTTATAGGGTTCGCCTCACCCTATATACGTTGTCGAGCTATTTATTATCACTCTAAACTTTGTTCAAAGACCCTAGGATCACAAATCCAGTGATGACGAGCTGGGACCTATGCTAGCATGCATGTTGATTTGATTGTCAGCTTCTACATTCATCCCTGTTGTTGGTTGCATCTAGACTTTCCTCAGCTCCTACAGGGGATCATAGTTCCAACCATTTTTTAGTGTCCCGATCCCCGACATCAGTCCCTTGGTACCCAGAATAGATTTTGTCCACATCCATGGGTTCCAATTCTTATTCAGAGTGCCACCAGTGGCATTGGTAATTCTTCCATGCCTTTGAGGTCTGTGGGGACTCAGCTCCGAGAATTTCTGGATGGATCCATGGGCAAAAAAATGGAAAGAGGTGAGCAGGGTCACTGTGTTTGATTCGTTACATGAGTGATATATCAGCAAATAGAAAGATATGAGGTTCTTATTTTATATTTTAGCTTGTAAATATCGATAATTTGAGTTTCTGATTCATACAAAACTATACACTGAGTATTTTGACATTGCAAACATCTTATTTGCTGCATTCAACATCACACATGACACACAAATGGATGTTTAACTGTTTTTTTAAATATTTACTTTTAAATTTAGAAATTAAATAATGTATAATACTAAAATTTGAATTATAATCTACAATTTGATACCAAACTTATTTATGAAATAGTAGTTCAATAAAATTTTGAATATGAGTCAATATATGCGATGACATGGCATTTGACCCATGACCCATCTAGAGAGGGTTAAGGGGAAAATTGTCATGTTCCATTCTGACAATTCTATGGTGGTGTCTTGAATTTCCCATCAAAGGGGCACTTGGGCCAGAGCTTTTTGTTTTCAAACCTAGGATCTCCTTTCTCGAGACCACTCCTATCATATCACCCTACTAGCTAGTTTACCATGCTCCACAGGTGATGACTTCAATGGCAGATCAATTGTTTCGACCCAAACAGATTCTCCCAACAGAATAGATGCTGCATTGCAAGGTTTTTCTACTGAGTTGGCTCTCATTTTGAAACAGTGGTGATTGGTGGGTTGGCCACTTATTGGTACACCCAACTACTGGCAATTTGGTATCCAGTACTTCACCCTCGGGGTTTGGCAATAGATGCATTCCTTCAGGACAGGACAGGATTACATCTTCAGGCGTTCCTTCCAATTCGTATGTTACCCAAGGTACTAGCTATGATTCGTTCTAGCCAATTGTCGGTTCCTGTCAACAGCACCAAATTGGCAGCTAAGCCCTGGTTTCTGCTTCTGTGGTACCTTCAGGAGTGCCTATCTCTTCCATTTCCTCTTTGGCCATCTCAGTGGAGGCAGCCATGATCTGATATCGTAAACCCAGCTATCCAGAGCTCAAGTTTCAGGCACGGAGGCTATGCAGTCCTTCTAAGGTTGCCATGTAGCTGTCTCAGTCTTTGCTTAATACCGTGATGGACATTTACCAAAGGAAATGGTACACATATCAGCAATGGTGTATTGAGAGGAGGTTGAACCCACTTCGATTAGAAGTACCAACCATAACTCGTTTTTTAACCTGACTCTTTGGCACTGGTTTTGCATCTTCCACAATCACCCTGTGTAAGGCAGCCTTATTGACTATCTTTTGATATTCGAGACAAAACATACTATCCAGCTTTCTCACATCATTTTGTGTCCTTTGTCCCAAATGTCCATTTTAGTTACCTAACTGGTATATTAAGGTAACATTACATGCCCTTTCTCAACACCCATTTGATACCTTAGACTCATGTGCCATGTATCACCTTTCCCTAAAGGTTTATTTTGTGTTTCTGCTGACCTACAGACATTGCTGGTCCGAGTGATTTGAGCTGACTGTGCATAGGGTGCTTTATAATTATACCTGCATTTTCAGACCGGTTCTTCTTCCCTAAGATCCTAGCAATGAGGGGAGGGGATAATTCCTTTTCATCCATTCATCTGATCACTATTTCTCATTTCTGTGACTGATCAGGTCTCGTTCTTTTGTTATGTCCAGTGAGGGTCTTGAAGGTTTTGTTGTCTGCACTAATGCCTTTACAGATGCTAGACAGTGACTTTTTATTCATTAGAATCATTCAGTTTCCCAGGATTTACCCCTGGTTACACTGCTGAGGTGGGTACGAAACTGATCCATTGCTTATTCCGGGCTCTCTTTGAAGGCGAGGAGACTTCTGTGAGTCATGTCTAATCAGGTTCATCACATTTCTATGTCCTAAGCAGCCCAGTTGAATTGCCCACTGGAGAACATTGTGTGGACTGGTATGTGGACCTCCCCCAATTCTTTTATCTCACATTATTTGCCTTCCAACTACCCCATGTAGCTGTCGTAACTACTTCTTTACTTTTAAAAATTTAGGGAACTGGGTTCACCTATAGCACTGTTTCCAGAGCACTGTTCCTCAGGACTCCCTATCGTACACCCCCCCCCCCCCATTCTACTTGTGGAGCTAGGGGGTCTTTGCCACACCCAGTTTCCATTCACTGGGGTGGTGGACAGAGGCTTTTCCTCTCACGGAGAAGAGGATGAAGTTAAGGGCTCTCCTACCCGGATCCCTGGATGTTTTATTTTTTCCCAGACCTCAGTAGAAGAAGCACCAGCCTACACAGGAGCCTATTCATAACAACATTTCAGATTTGATGCTCACCTATCTGGTTGGGTTGAGTATGGCCATTCTTTTTGATCAACATTGGTTTAGTACATTGTTCATGAAAGAGGGTTCATTGTCTCCTTGTAATTCCAAATGCAGAGTGGTCCCATCTTGGGTTCTTGTTGAGCACAATTTGTTCAACATCCTCCCCAAAATTCCAGAGACAAGAAGAATTTACCTTGCCCACTCAGTT